TAGCATCCTGAGCTGTCTGTTTGCTGTAACCATGCGGGTTGCAGAACAGAAAAGAGGAATCTCTAGTCTGAAGAATCCGAGAAGAGAAAGTCACCAAGAAAGGGAGGTGAGGGAGGCCCAGACCAGCACCGACTCTCCTCGGGTGCTTCCCTGGGAACCACTGCTCGACTCACCTTGGCTTCCCAAAAGAACTGGTGGGGGCAGAAAAAGATACTGGGGAACTGAGTCCTCCCATGACAGCAGATTGGTATTACTGGGACTTCCCTGCCTAGAGGAGCCTATTAGTTACCAGCCGGTCTCACTCTGTTGTCTTGCGGGCTGTGTGATGTGCAGGGAAAAGAGAGAGACTCTAACGCATTAACCCCAGGAGTGGACTCAAAGAATCTGCATGTGGCACTGTGGGCCTGCTTGCTGTTCACCCTGAACTGCGCCATGTAAACCCCCTTTCTGGGACAGCTGCTGTGGAGCCCCGGCCCTGTGTTCATGACCCTCCAGTGATGCCTCCCAGTCCCCAGAGGACTGTGGCACCGTGGATGTCCCTGCAGTGCTAACCTGGGAGATTACTTCATTTCCTGGGGCTTCTGTGCTGCCAGGCCTCCAGAGACGGCTCCTGGTGTTAGGGAGAGCGGAGGTACCTGCTCTCTACAGCACTGGACAGGGACTGCCTGAGGAGTGACTCTCTGGCACCAGGCGCTGGGGAGGAGGGAAAGGCACTGGTGCAGCTACGGCAGAGGGGCTGTGGCTAAGATCTCTCCAGGGAGAAGATGAAGATTGTCCAGCTGTACGTTGTGCTGATTTCAGTGCGGCATGTCCCTGCCGTGACCTGGCTGTAAGTATGGCGCAGGCTGGATCTTGTCTGACTGAAAGGTCCCCTAGGGAGGTTGAGGGACCCTAACCCCCACCACAGAGATGAAAGACAGATCTCCCAGGCAAGGGCAGGAGTGGGAGACCTCAGCATGCCAAAGGGAGTCTGGGGTTCCCCTGGGCTGGAAAATCTTGTGGGGAGTCTGAGAATATCTCCCTGGTTTTCCTCAGTGAGGCTATGAAGAGGGATTTTCCCCTTTGGGCAGTTAGCATCTCCACAGCCTCTCTCTGAGCACAGCTCTCTCCCCCTCCTCTTCTGTGCAGGTACCTGGCAAAGCAGCCCTCCCTGAGAGGGACTCTACGAGATTCCCGTGCCTGTGAGGGCTTGAAGGGCCTGGCAGAAGAGCAAGTGCGGATCTGCCAGCGGCAAGTGGAAGCCATGGACTCAGTGAAGCGCGGAGCAGAGCTGGCCATAGAGGAGTGTCAGCACCAGTTTTACAACCGCCGGTGGAATTGTTCCACGCTGCAGGGACTACAGGTTTTTGGCAAGGTTGCCATACAAGGTCAGAGGTCAAGAGTTAGGCAGATCTGGGCAGTGCATGGAACATTTGCCATCAGTGTCCAACTTTTTGGCTTATTTCCAAACCCCACCCTAAAGCTGACACGTACCCAGTGGTGCGGCGGGAGAGGGGGGGGCCTGGGAGTTGCCTCGGGCGCCACGCTGGGGGGTGCCAATTTAGCTGCCAAAAGTTATGTTGACAGCTGGACAGCGGTGGGAAGGACCCCAGGAGCACTGGCCAGACAGCAAAGGGAAGGACTGTGCTAGGACCCTGCGGCCGCCAGCCGCTTCCACACCTGCAGGAAATCAAAACTGAGTGTGATGCGCCCAGCAGGGGCAGCGCACAGGGTGGGGTTCAGGCTGAGCATGCGCAGAACACAGCTAGCGCACAGGCCCCCTCTGCAACTACAACCCCAGAATCCCCTTCACTGCCAGTTGTTCCAAGGCACAACCCATTGGGCCTCAGCATCCAGGTCTCACCTGTAGCTCATCCCCGAGAAACCGCAGCTGCTGATTGGCCAGAGGGCGCATCAGTCTGGCTGGAAGTGGAACAGCCCCATGTGTCAGAGGGAGCCCCACATGGTAGTGGGGGTCCAGCTGGGGGATTGTTCTTTTTTTATTTACATTTTTATTTTTGCTGACTTAGAAATAAATAACACATACATAGTAACAAATGATTGGGGGGCACAAATTTTGCCTGTGCCCCCGGGTGAATAATACCCTCGCTATGCCACTGCAAGTACCCTAACTTTTAAACTTTCTCCCTAGTCCCAAACCAAGGCCTAACCTTACCCACTTATCCTAATTCTAATAGCAAGTAGAACACTAAACTGTACACACCTGCTGTAACTAATATGCGTACTCTGGCTATCCCTCACCCCAAGTCACCCCAGTCCTCACCCTGACTCTAATGTCAACCAGATGTTGATCCTAATGCTTACCTAGATTATTCCTCTTAATGATCATGCAGCCTATTAAACCTAATGCTCACCAAGCCCACAGAGTGTGTTTGTGTTTGGAAAGCAGATTCAGGTAAACTGAAAGATTCGATGTGGTGTTGATTTTGGCCTCCCCATAACCCTGATTAGATTAGCTGGAATGGGGAAGAGCCAGGTTCAGAACACAGCTCAGGGACTTGGCCCTAGCTATCCTTTCCCCATGAGCACCCTGACCATTAGGATGGTCTGATGTGGGGCACTTTCAGTCCTTGTTGTTGAAGATTCTGCTGTGGATAAATAGCACTGCAATAATATATATATATATAATTGAAAATAACTGATTTGCACAGGGAGTGGAAGCCAGATGCCCGACTTCTCAGGGTTGTGTCGGAGCTAGGCACTGCGCTAGAGAGTGTTTCTCACTGTCTCTCACTGGCCCAATGACTATTCAAGTATTTAATACCCAGCTTTAGTAGGAGAGCTCAAGACGGCTCCACTCCAGAGTAGCTTGATGGTTAGAGCATGCACCTGGGAACCTTCCCTTCTCATAAGTGCCCCAACGGCTAAGCTAGAGGTTGAATGTGTGTGTGTATGGTGGGGACCTTCTCTTTAAAAAGGGTTAAAATTCCCCCAAATTAAACAACATATTTTGTTTGACCCAAAATTATTCTTCCCCCAATCTGATTGACCAAAAATGCCAAAATATGTTACAGTTTCAGTTTGATTCAAACCTTTTTTTATTATTTTGCAGAAGTACTAGCAAACCAAAAAAAAAAAAAAAAAAAAGTTCTCTGCCATGTGTTAGTCCCGAGAAATGAGGCTCCAGGCCCTTCACTTGGATGGACAACTTCCCAGGTCCATGGGCTAGGGTTGCCAGATGGTTTCAACAAAAATACCGGACACACTTGACATCACATCACAATCGACATTACATCTTATTTAGAAAATACCCGACATTTCTATTTTCTCATTTCTATTTTCTCAATTTGTTTCCCGAACAGAAAGCTCAAATACTGGACTGTCCAGTTCAAAACCGGACACCTGGCAACCCTACCATGGACATCCTCAGAGCTGCAGGATGGTTCCTGTGCTCAGCCTCACTGCATGCTGTCTTGTTCTCCACTCTCCCCCCAGTTCTTTCCCTCTTGCATCCCCTTCCCTCTCTGCTGGGGACATGAGACTTCTGGGAGTGGGGAGCCCAGAGCTGAGTGAATGTCATGTGGGATCTCCCTAGTGCCCTACCAAGACAGGCTTTCCTCTCCTGGCTGTGGGCTCATCTCCCAGGCTACCTCTGGCATGTAACCCAGATAAAGCTGCAGCACCTTCCCTCTTTGCCAAGGAACTGAAGGAGAACTTTGACTGACAACTCTGAAAGAAATTGTTCCTTCCAACGCTTACTTCTCTGCCTTCTGCAGGCACACGAGAATCCGCCTTCATTCATGCCCTGTCCTCAGCGGGCTTGGCATTCGCTGTGACCCGGGCCTGCAGCCGTGGGGAGCTGGAGAAGTGCGGGTGTGATCGTAAAATCCGTGGGGTCAGCTTGGAAGGTAACAGAAAGCGGTTGGTGCAGGAGAGAGATGCCTCCTGCCCCTTTGACATGGAGACAGAGGGAAGGAGGCTCAGGAACAGAGCACAAAGCCTGCTAGGTACCACTGGGAAGGGGGCAGCAGAGGAGAGAGGGAAAAAAAGATGGGGATGGACAGTGCTGCCCTGTGTGTCCCAGGGAAGGGAACCATGCGGGGGCGGGGGAGGGGGTAAGGGAGAGATGAGCAGAGTGTTCTGCTTTTCCTGCTAATGCATGAACAACCCTGCACCTGCCCCACACCTGGGGCAGCCTTTTTGCCTATGAATGCTCCCTCTCTCTCCCAGGCTTCCAGTGGTCGGGCTGCTCTGACAACCTACCCTATGGAATTGCCTTTTCTCAAGCCTTCGTGGATAACCCCGAGCGGAGCCGGGGCGTCTCCTCCAGCCGAGCGCTCATGAATCTGCACAACAATGAGGCTGGGAGGAAGGTGAGCTTGGCGCCTTGTGTGGGGGCGGGGTCACACCCAGATGTCTGGGCCCTGGGCCAGATTAAGAAAGGGGCTTGACGGGCTGCAGCCCAGAGCCTGGGGAAAGGGGCTGCGCAAGGATATCCAGCTTACAAATGTGCAGATCTTTGCTCAGGGCCTCCTAAGCCCGGGGCCCTGGACTACAGCCACTAGCACGCCTGCGTTCCAGCCCTGCCTGGCGTGGGGGAGACATGGCTGTGCACTGCCGCCCCGCACACACGCTGGCCTGGAGCTGTGAGCACCAGGAAGCTCCATCCCATCGCTTCCCTCACCTGCAGGCTTCGCCCCTGAAGTTCCCATGGACCCAGAGCTGCAGGGGAGTGTAGGGTAGCCCGCAAAGCCACCTGGCCACCAAAGGGGAGCTGCCCCACACAAGCACCCTACCCTCAAGCCCTCTGCCCCAACCATGAGTCCCTTCCCACACTATAACCCCCCAGACCCCTCCCACCCCAAGCTCCTACCCTGAGCCCCCTCTCACATCCTAGCCCAGACACCACTCCCTACCCTGAGCCTCCTTCCACACCCTAGCCCAGACCCTACACCTCCGCTTCCTGCCTTGAGCCCCCTCCAGTATTACAACCCCCTTGGCTACAGCCTGGAGCCCCCTTCTGCACCCCAAACACAATCTCCAGTCCCACACTGGAGCCTGCACCCCCATAGGGAGCCCTCAGCACCTAACCCCCTAGCACAACCCATAGTCTCCTCCTGCGCGCTGGGGCTCCTAAGGGCCCCACAAAATGTAATTGCTCCAGGTCCCCAGAAGAGCTAATCCAGCCCTGTTGGGCCATTGATTGGGTACCAGAGCCTGTCCCATCCCCCACTCCCTTTGTCCAGATTAGAATGCCCCCCAAGGTGGTTCTCTCTGAGGAGAGCCCGTCTCCTCCCGTCTCTGTGCCTTTCCGCGAGGCTATCATTGCTCAGCCTCTGTTCCCTCTATGCCTTGGATGGATCCTAATACCTCCACCTGCTGCAGAGCAGCTTTCTTTCCCTCCGATAGCCTAGAAGTGGAGCCCCTTCCTCTGCCTCTAAGTGGATTCACTTCCTTCTCTCTGTCTTCATGCCAGTCCTCCCTCCCTCCCCTCTTTCTACATGAATGGCTTCCTCTCCCCTCACCTGCTCCGGGGCTTCCCTTTGCTTTGTGGCGAGTAGACACCTTTCCCTAGTGCCTCAGAGTGGGCCCTTTTCTCACGTGGAGACGGCCTGCTCATAGCCCTCTGCAAAGGGATCTCTCTGTCCGGGGTGGGGCCCTTCCCCTCAAACTGGGCCCTCCAGCTGAGGAGCGGATCCGTTACTTGTGCTTCATATTCCTGGGAGCGGCCGCCATTCGTTTTCTGATCCCGATCACAACACAGGGAGACACCTTTCCCCAGGCTGCCCTCCCCTGCCTCTGTAGGTCACACGCCTCACATGCAGCACCCCCTGGGAGGCAAAGAGAAGCTCCACTTCTCACTGGCACCCTCGGGTGAGGCGTGGTGGGGTAGGAACTGCATGAGGCCTTCCATCGCCTCTGACAGCTGCTTTCTGCTCGCCAGGCCATCCTGTCCCACATGAAGGTCGAGTGCAAGTGTCATGGAGTGTCAGGTTCCTGTGAGGTCCGCACCTGCTGGAAGGTGATGCCCCCCTTCCACAAGGTGGGAAGTGTCCTGAAAGAAAAATTTGAGGGGGCCACAGAGGTGCAGCCCAAGCGGGTTGGTTCCCGCAAGCTCCTGGTGCCCAAGAGCTCCCGCTTCAAACCCTACACAGCTCACGATCTGGTCTACTTGATGGCCAGCCCAGATTTCTGTGTCCGGGATCCCCGCAGTGGGGTTCCTGGCACCACTGGACGCCAGTGCAACCGGACATCCCATGCCACGGACGGCTGCGAGCTGCTGTGCTGTGGGCGGGGCTTCCGCACGGCCCAGGCCGAGGTGGTGCAGAGATGCAGCTGCAAGTTCCACTGGTGCTGCTCTGTCACGTGCAAGCAGTGCCGCCACCTGCTGGAGGTGCACACCTGCCAGTGACGGGCAGGGGCGAGGGGGGGGGGGGGGCCCCCCCTGCCAGTGACGGGCAGGGGCGAGTGCTGGGCCAGCATGCCAGCACCCAGAGGCAGGGGAAGACCTGGGGAAAGGGGGTTCAGTGAGAGGGACTGAGAGCTCCAGAGAGGAATATACAAAGTAGGGGGAGGGAGGGACGGGGCTGTCTTTACTGCCCCAATAAAGAGGGAGCTGATGGCTCCAGAGGGGGCATCTGTGGGGGGTGCCCAGAGGTTGCTGCCCTGTTACAAAGGGGTTTGCTGGGCTGTGGCGCGAGGGCTTTGGGCTGGGGCCGGTGAGCTCTGTATTCATCTTTGGACGGGTGAACACACAAAGTGCCATAAACCCTTAAATATGAGGAATAAAAGTCCTGTGTCAGCAGGAGAGGCAAGCGTGAGCTCCTGTGTGTGTGAGCCCTGGCGGCCCTTCTGGTGGGCACTTCCACACGTGGCTGGGGGGTGCTCAGTCCATTCCGGAGGCTCAGGACGCCAGTGCCCTTTGTCGGCAGCTCGCTGAGCGGGTGCTGGGGAAAGCGCAGGGGGAACCAGTGAGAGTCCCAGAGACACTGCTGGTGCAGCGAGTGTGGAGGGAGGGGCTGCTGGGAGAGGAGCCACGCGGCTGAGAAGGAACAGAGACAGTGATGTGCGTGGGCTGTCCGGGCCCTTTATAAAACCAAACATCATAGAGAGGAAGCGCCCACGGGTGATGCCATGACAGGATACTGGAGGGTAAAAGACACGGCAGGTTTGGGGCAGGAACCTGGAAACGGGAAGAGGCTTCAGTTGAATCACCCCAGGCCTGATGCCTCTCCTGTTGCTGGAATCTCTTTTCCTAGCTGCTGAGCCTTGGAGGCACCTGGAGGACAGTGAAACCGTACAGTGAATATGACCCCGCCCCCAGTCATTGGTTCCCCAGTGAATTATGGGTTGCGGTCAATCCCACTGCTGTCTAGGGCAGAAAGGTGGCAGTGGCACGTGGACGAAAGGGGCTGGGCACTGGACATTATTACTGGGGACAGAGAGACAGACAGAGGTAGGGGAAAGTTGCTTCAGATCCTATCAAGTGTCTCCTCATCTCTCTGCCTCCACAGAGTCCATTCAGTGCCCTATTCCCCTTTTAGCCTTCCTCCCTGGGGATCTCCCTCTGTCCTGTCTCCTCCACTCATCCCTCCGTGAAGCTGAAGAATTTCTGGCTCCAGCGTAGCACCTCCTCCTCGCCTTTCTCGTCGCTCAGCACTTGGTAGGTCTCATTCCTGTGGCAACCATGGCGAAGCACCTGAGCAGAGAATGATAACCTTATCCCCAGAGTCTGGCGTGGGTCCCTCTCCCCACACCCCACCCGGACATCTAGGGGCCCAAAGGGACTTCAGGGAGTAAGAAGCAGCTGTCTCCTGTTAACATGAGTCCTGAAAATGTGAGTGCCTGTCCCTTGACCAGAGGAGGGCCTGGAAGTGAGGGTGGAGAGTGTAGACCCTGCATGGGGAGCAGCAGCCAATGGTGCCAGAGGGGAAAGCCTTCCTGGAAAAACGATTAGAGAAGAGAGCAGAACATGGAGTGATTTGAGCTGGCCTGCACTAGCTTGGTGACCTATGGTTGGCTGGTTAGTTATTTAGCTTCCATTTTGTTCTCCATAATCTCACATTTCATTACAAACAACAGTGTGAAGGGTAAGGGCCTGTGACATACAGGAGGTCAGGTGAGGTGACCTAACGGTCCCTTCTGGCCCCAAATTCTATGAATCTATTAAATGAGTGTCTAGCCCTGATGGCTGTGAAGAAACCTCCAGAGCAGGCATTTGTGACACTGGCGTAAGTCTTCAGGCAGCCTGGAATAAGGGCTCCGAGAGACCCGGCCGTACCGGCCACATTTACTTCAGTGGGGCTAGCTTACCTGTCCAGTTATGCTGATTTAAAATGTCAGCCCTGTGATCTGAGAGACAAGGTGGGGGAAGTAATTTCTGTCCCCTTGTGTCTCTACTCTCCTGGGACTGACACTGCTATCTGCTTTACATCTAATTAGAGCTGTGGATAAGGAGGAGGGATCAATCTATGGAAATCTGCTTAATCTACAGTGAGTGACCTTTCAGTCTGTGCCCCTGGCGCCCAGTGCCTGGATGTGGCACAGCTTTTTGGTGCCCAGTCTGAGAAGCCAAAGGTCTTAGAGAAGGGGAGAAGCCTGGGGGGTCAGGTTGACTCTGGTGGGGAGTCTGGAGCCAACCTTGTCTGTAGTGGTTGGTACTCCTTCCTGTCCTGCAGCCTCCCCACAGGTTCCATTGCAACCATCACACTCAGGTTTGTCTTCAAAAGGCTGGGAAAATTTCCTGCTGGATGCTGACATTTTAATGTTCTCACATGAGCTGGGGGCCGGGGCACATGGTGTGTGCCTGGCTCTATGTATAACCAAATCCCACTGAGGAGTCGTCGAACCTGTGAGCCCAGCAGAGGATGCTGGGTCATGTTCTGCATACCCACATGGTCTACAGTAAGTGGCATTTCCTTTTGGAAACCCAAGGGCGTGGAGCTTGATTTTGGGGTGGAGCTCAGAAGAGTCCCGCCACTTCCTCCTCCCCATTCCACTCAAGGAGGGGAAAGTCCCGGGGCAGGGAAGGAGCCGGATGGAGCCAAGGAGGAAGGTGGAGCTGGGCAGACTCCTGGCGAGTGGGGCTGGTCCTCACCTGCTGGCTGTTGAGGCTGCGCTGCAGGCACTGGTGGCTCTTGAAAGCACAGTAATTAGGGTGCTGAACTCTGTCTGAGTCACAGATCTGCAGAGAGAGGGGGAAATGTTAGAGAGAAAACACAGGTGAGGAGGGATGAAGGGACAACAGAGGTTCAGCACCTACTTTGCTTGGAAAGTCTCCTTCTTGGAAGAAAGCATATTCCACCTGCAGCCAAAGGGTCACGCGGGGGTCATCACAGCCGTGCATGGCCAGGCGGCCACACCAGTAATCTGCACGCAGCCCTCCATACGCTTCCATCCCATAATATCCCACCGCCTCCAGGGACCCGACCTGCAAATGGAGGGGATGGTCAGAGATGGGCGAGCTTCCCCTCCAGCTGGGTTTACTCCAAGACCTTGCCGCAGTGCCTTGGGTACCTTATTGCCCACAGCCTGATACTGGGCAGAGATCTCAGGGTTGATGTAGGTGGCGAAAGTGCCAGCATCACAGTGAACACGTCTCAGATTCGACACCCCTTGGCACTGCTCCCGCTTCAGTGAGCAGAAGGCGCAGTCAGGACACAGATCCACGTGGCGCCTCCCGGTACTGTCACACACCTAGAGAAGGCGACAATGGCAAGGCGAAGGGCCTCTGGTGGCTGAACAGGGCAGCTGGGGAGAGCACAGGGAGACCCGGAGCTGGACTCAAAGGCCTCCTATGCTCTGGGACCAGACACTGTACATCCCACCCAATTTATAATCTAGCCACTCGGGACTCAGCCTCTTCCAGCAGAAGGGACTGGAGAGCAGAGCCAGAGCATGGACTTTTGGGGGAGTTTCCAGATGCTACCGGCAGGAAGAGTAGGGAAGGTTGTCATGGAGGCCAAACAGTTGATCCTTACTGAATCGCCAAATCCAAGGGCTCTTGCCTCCATTCGCTTCCAAGCCTGGGTAATGGCTGAAGATAGGCAGATGCCCTCCAGCATTGCATAGCAGAGAATCACTAGGGCCTCATCCCTCTCCAGCGCAAGGAGGCTAATGCAGAGAAAGAAACAGCCAAAGGAACAAGTCAGTTTTGGGGATCTGTCGTTTCCTGCTGGTTCTTTACCGGAGGAGTGGAGAGTGCCACACTGGGTCATAGTCCAGATCCCAGAAGGTCTCTCTTCACAAGTGTAAGAGCAAGAAATTGTAAAACATACATATAGAGCATTAGACCCTTCAGCCAAATTGCACCTGTGTGATTGTCTGAGTGGCAGGCACATGTGCAGGGTTTGTATGTGCATGTGTAATGTATATGGGGGCTTGCTTTGTGTGCACTTATCAATATGTGAAGGGAAATTTGTACAAAGAATAGCATTACAGAGCTTTATCAGGTGGCATTACTCCAGTTGTTCTTGCTAATTTTGTTTATTTGAAAACCCAGGAACTAGATCTTGGAGAACTGCTTATTGTTAGCTGTGGTGCAATTCCATTTAGATTCTGAGGCTATCACTTTAAAAGTCTCTTCTCCCCAGCCTGAATCAATAAATAGCAAATAGAAAAGGAGGGAATATGAGCAATAAATGAGCAATTATGAAATAAAATATGAATGAATAAGGGAAGCTAAAGATATGAGCAAAAAATCTGTGGTCAGTAGGATTAAAGACAGTGAGGAACGTATATCACAAACAAAAGAAATCCAATGGTATAGACCTATTACCAGAAAGGATTGGTTTAAAAGGTTGATAATGATGCAGAAAAAGCAGAAATATTCAATAAATATGTCTGTTCTATATTTGGAAATAAGCTGGAAGACATTCATAGCTTGCAGCAATAACAAAATACCTTCTATTCTAACAATACGTAGGAAGTAAGCAACAGCTAAAGTACATCACTCGAATGCAGGATGGGATAAATTTCACCCTAGAGTTTTAAAAGAATTAGCTGAGGTGTTCTTTCAGACACTAATAATGGCATTCCACAAATCTTAGAACATAGCATCCTGTCTGCTGACAGTGGCCAATGCCAGGTGCCCCAGGGGGAGGGAACACAACAGGGAATCATCATGTGACCCCTCTCCTGTCATCCATTTCCAGACAGAGGCTAGGGACACCAATCCTATCCTTCATGGCTAATAGCCATTGATGGACCTAACCTCCATGAATTTATCTAGTTCTTTTTTGAACCCTGTTAAAGTCTTGGTCTTCATAACATCCTCAGGCAAGGAGTTCCACAGGTTGATTGTGGAATAACAGGGAAGCATCAAGGGGATAGGAAAAATGTGAAGGGTCAATTTAATAAAGGGTAAATGAGATTACTTAAATTCCCTCCAAGCTGTGCGGCCATGCAGCAGGCTATCAAAGGCCAGGCAGGCACGTAGCCACAGGGGCCTGGAGAGGAGAGAGGTAGAGGACCTGAAGGGCTGCACCATGGAGAGGCGCCACTCTCCCACCCCTGTTCTCCTGCAGTGGGGAGAAGCACCTCTTCCCGAGCCCTGGACTGCTGTGGCAAGAGCGAGCTGGGAGGAGTCCTTTTTCTTTGCCACAGCCCTGGGGCAACCTGCACCCCAAGTTCTTGATCCACAGCACCACCCCAGAGCCCTCACCCCCAGTTGCAGCCCTCATTCCTCTGCACCCCAATCTTCTGACCCAGCCCTGAGCCCTCTCCCACACACCAAACTGCTCTGCCCATCCCATGACACAGCATCACCTCCATATTGATGCACAGAACAAAATTCATTCCACATTCCACATATGGATGGAGCTTGACCTCCAGTCTGGGCAAAATCACGGAAATACTGATGTGAGATGCAATCAATAAAGCATTAAGAGGTGGCAGCATCGTTAATACGAGTCAACATGGTTTTATGGAAAATCTTGACAAACAAGTTATATCCTTTTTATGAGTTTGGTTAAAAGGTGGCTATGTTAACATACTATATTTAGACTTCAGCAAGGTATTTGATTTAGATCAGTATGACATTCTGATTAAAAAATTAGCACTATAATAAAACAATGCATCCCATATTATTAAATACATTAAAATGGCTAATAGCTCTAAAAGAGTAATTATACATGGGAACTCATTATGGTATGGGGGTGATTCTAGTGGGGTCCCACTGGGATATAATCTCAGCCCAATGCTTTTCAATATCTTTAGCAATGAACTGGAAGAAAACATTAAGTCATTTCTGGCCAAGATTGCAGATGGCACACAAATGAGAGAAGTGCTCAATAATAAATAAATACATAATAATAATATAATAATGAATCCTTTGTTCGGAGTGACGACTACCAGATGACTGGAGGTCTGGAGGACCTGCCTTATAGTGACTGACTAAAGCAGCTCAATTAGTTTAATCTGTCAAAGATCAGGTTAAATTGTGACTAGATGAGAGCCTGGACACTTCTGTGTGGGGAGATTTCTGCTAGTCTACCAAGACATAGCGAGATCTAGTGATTGCAAGTTGACAATAGACAAATTCAGATAACAAATAAGGGGCAGATTTTTAACACTGCGAGTAATTCATCATTGGAACAACTTGCCAAGGGACATGTTAGATTTGCTATCACAGGAGATCTTTAAATAAAGTTTTAGGTGTTTTTCTAAAATAAATGTGCTAGCTTAAGCTGACATTATGGACTTGACTCTGTGAGCTTCTGTGGCCTGTGCTCTGCAGCAAGTTGGAATAGATGATCATAATGATCCCTTCTGGAATTAAAAATCTCTGACTCTCTCTGCCAGAATCTCCCAGATAAGATAAGAGTATCTTTTAGGTGGAGCTGCTGACTGCAGGATATATCCAGGTAAGGAAACAAACTGTTAAAATGATGCTAAAAAATTACAAAAAAAATTGTGTCTCTCTGTAGGTTCTATGTGTGCCTAAACAGGACAGTCTCCCATACTGAGATTAACCCATGGGACCAAGTGCACCCTGAAGGATTACCTAGGAGGCCTGGGGCCAGAAGCAGGGATCAGGGCCTCTTGCAATCACTGCATCCAGCAGAGATGAAGCCTGCTCCGCTTGGCCACCATCTCCCAGCCAGGTCATTCTACTTCCCAGCAGTGGTGAGGCCACATCTGGAGTACTGCATCCAGTTCTGGGCCCCCCACTATAGAAAGGATGTGGACGCATTGGAGAGAGTCCAGTGGAGGGCAACCAAAATAATTAGGGGGCTGGAGCACATGACCTATGAGTAGAGGCTGAGGGATTTGGGCTTGTTTAGTCTGCAGAAGAGAAGAGTGAGGGGGGATTTGATAGCAGCCTTCAACTTCCTGAAGGGAGGTTCCAAAGAGGATGGAGAAAGGCTGTTCTCAGTAGTGACAAATGGCAGAACAAGGAGCAATGGTCTCAAGTTACAGTGGGGGTTGGATATTGGGAAAAGCTAATTCCCTAAAAAGGTGGTGAAGCACTGCAATGTGTTCCCTAGGGAAGTGGTGGAATCTCCATCCCTAGAGATTTTTAAGTCCCTGCTTGACAAAGCCCTGGCTGGGATGATTTAGTTGGGATTGGTCCTGCTTTTAGGAAGGGGCTGGACTCGATGACTCCTGAGGTCTCTTCCAGCCCTAGGATTCTATGCATGTACACATACATGAAAGTGTGGGAAGGTATGGCCAGTATCAGTGTGCACTGAACAAGGAAGTTTCACGCATTTTTAGTATGCACATAACTGTGACCGTGTATGTTTGAAAGGAGCTCACTAGACATGTGTCTGAGAGGGTGTGTGAGGAACATACTGCGCATGTGCATGGGGATATTTACGTGAGCATAAGAAGACCTCAATCATGCATATACAAGGGTATAGGTGTGAGAAGCTCCTAGACATGTCCACAAAGTTGTGTTTGGAGAACTCACAATACAGCTACAGAAAGGTGGGGGTGTGAGAGGCTCACAGTATGTATGCATGTGTGTGAGTGTTATCAGACCATAGTGGACTGCCCTATATCTAAATAAATCCTACTGAATAACAGGAGACAATAATATGCTGCAGACCCTCTGCAGATTTTCAGGAAAGCCATCTGGAGACAAAAATAGAAAGAAAAATATGAGTGTGCCCTGAAAACTTCAAAAACCTAATTAATGTGTATCCAACAAACACACACTTTGTCCAAACAGCAAATGACATTAACACTGCCACAGAAGACTATGACGGAGTCTTTACCAGGGCAGCACAGCAATCCCTAAACATACAACCACACAATCTTAATCACACAAAACAGAGAGAAAATCATTACTTAGACTCTGCCATACACTCAGGAATAAAGTGAGGAACTCTTCAGCTTAAAACAGAGATGTACATGTCACTGATGTAGGCACAGCTCACAGATGTGTAACAAATTAGTGCTCTAGCAAAAAACTGTAGCACCTGAAGGAAAAATTATCATGGGTTGAAGTTATGATGTACACCCAGTGCTTCTAGCAAATCTGGAAAGAATTTAAGATAACCAATGGGGAACGGGGAGGGCCTATCCAAGATGGTAGCATCTGAACAGAACACTTCTAGGACCTATACAAAGGTATCAAACACCTAAAGACACACTAAAACAATCTGCTCATAACAAGAAAATGAAATGTTTGGAAACTCAAACCAAGGAAATCATGTGGTCTCAACAATAGATGCTGAAACACAACACGGAACCCATCCAGAAACGCAACTTAAACTAACCATCCAGTCTGCACACCTCTCTGGGATATGGTCGGTGGACAAATTACCTGACTACAAAAGCCGAGAGATCCTACATTCTAAACAACTATAAAAGCTCTGTTTGAGCAGTAACGGGTGGCCAATTATCGTGTAGTAGTATCTTCAGCAACAGAATAATCTAGGAGTGGGCAAATACTGGCCTGCAGGCCAGATCTGGTTTGCCAAGGGTCGCTGCTATATTCACCTGCAACTCTGCAGGTATGGGCACTTGCACCTTCCATTGGCCGTGGATTGCCATTCCTGGTCAATGGGAGCTGCGGGAAGCAGTGTCCCAGTCTGCACCACGTCCTGCAGCTCCCATTGGCCAGGAACAGTGATACACAGCCAACAGAAGTTGTAAGCACCTGTATC